TTTTTTTTTTTTTTTTTTTTTTTTTTTTTTTTTTTTTTTTTTTTTTTTTTTTTTTTTTTTTTTTTTTTTTACCCCATTATGTTTCTTTCCTCATTTTGGGACTCCAAGGACCTGTCTGCTCTAGCTTTTGATATTATCCATAAGTCCCTTGAAGGCTATTTTTCTCCATCTTTTTTTTTCTCTCTCTGATCCACAGATTACATAGTTTTTATTGATTCAGTGATTCTTGATCCTGTCATATTTTCTATGCTATCAAATCTATTCAGTTAATTTTTTTCAGATATTTTATTTTTTAGTGTCAAGATTTCTTTATATTTTCTGGTCTCTAATGAGATTTACCATGTTAAAATTCATTGCATGTGTATTTCCTTTACTACTGGAGCATGTTAAAATGGATATATTAGAGTCCTTGTCTGATTATTTCAACATGATTGGTGTCCAGGACTCTGTGAATGTTGTGTTGAAGACTGCTACATCTTCTGAAGAATGCTGATGTTTTGATTTGACAGGAAAGCGACTCTATTAAACTCAATTTGCAAATATTACCTCATCTGTAACGGACAGCGGCTCAAATCTCAGGGATGTTTGCGTGTTTGTTTTGTTTTATCTTAACAAGGTGCACGTGTGGTTCAGGGGTGAGCAAGAGACCTGGGCAGAGTTCACATATAGAACCTAAGCTCCCTTCTCTGGGTCTTCATTTCCAGAAGCTCTGGCCTCCCTTAGCTCTGTCTTTGTGTTCCAAGTTTAGAAAGAGGGTAGATCCCTTGTGTGTTTTGTTTTAGCCTCTCCATGCCACCCTGTAATCAGAGAGAACATACTCTGTGCTGTTCCATTTTTCCAAGTTTTGACTTTTTTCCAAAATATGCCCGTATTTATTTCAGCTTTCATATTCTTTGGGTAGTTTTTTGTGGGTTTGCTTTACTTTGTTTGGTTCTTCCAGAGTTTTACTTGTTATCAGTGGGAGGGTCCACCTGTTAGAAGCTCGCTTTGCTTGGGGCGCCTGGGTGGCTTAGTCGGTTAAGCGTCCGACTTTCGCTTAGGTCATGATCTCGCGGTTCGTGGGTTCGAGCCCCGCGTCGGGCTCTGTGCTGACTGCCAGCTCAGAGCCTGGAGCCTGTTTCAGTCTGTGACTCCCTCTCTCTCTGACCTTCCCCTGCTCACACTGTCTCTCTCTCTCTCCTAGAAATAATAATAAAAAAAAAGAAACTCGCTTTCCTTTATTCAAAATGGAATTCCTCATTTAAGTTTTAATCTTTCAAGTAATTCCCCTACTTAAAAGCCTTCAATAACTTTCCTTTGGTTTTAAGATAAAATTCAAAATTTTTAGTAACATATAAATAGACATGGTAGTTCTCCAACCCATATTTGTTGAATGAAAGCTATTCCCTTAACATATGAAATATGGTCATATTTAATCACAATGCCATTGTTCTTAATAATATCTTACAGGGTTGCCTGGGTTGCTTAGTTGGCTAAGTATTGGACTCTTGATCTCAGTTTGGCTCTTGATTTCTGGGTCATGAGATAAAGCCCCATGTTGGACTCTGTGCTGGGTGTGAAGCCTACTTAATAATAATAATAATAATAATAATAATAATAATATCTTACAGATGTAAAAACTTTGAGCATTTAATAATTTCCATATTAATTATTTGACTATTCGTGAGTTCTTCTAACTAGACAGCTGTTAATTAACAAGTCGAAGAACACATATATTCTGAATATCTACTGTTGCAAAGCTCTGTCATGAGGAGTGATTGGAAAAGAAAGGATGGAGGGAGAGTCATTTTCTTCTGTGGAGCATATAGTCAAATTGGAAAGATAAAAAAATTTTCATACAGTGTAATTTTTGAAAAGCAGTTAGACTAGGCACCCATTAATAACAGCTGGGTCCATCTTATAAGAAAGTTGCACTTAACATCTTAGAGAAGAGGAAACGGAATGGGGTTATAGATCTTCTGGAAGGGTAAGTACTTGAGGCGGGGCCTAAGGGAAAAATAGACATCTAGGCAGAGACAGAGACTGGAGGAATCCAGGCTGGAGGATGGGTTGTTTGGTTTCCTCTCCCGTAAACCTCTTACCTGATCCAGCAGCCCACGCACTATTCAGGAGAGCATGAAAAATAGTTTCTTCTTAACAAACATTGCAAACTGAAGTTGGCTCCCAGCCCTTTCAGAGCTGTAGAACTTGTTTCAATCAACTTCTCTCGATAAAAGAGCTGGATTTTAGTAACTGTCCCTCCTTTGTCCTCTCTCCACTGATGTCTAGAGCCATAAGAATCTTTTTCTTAATTTTTGCTGCTCTCATTCTCCTTGCTCGCTTTTTCTCAGGTAAGAGGGAAATCCTAGTACCTGTAAGGGTGGCAATCTGTCTTTTAAGAAGAAAGCTCAGGTTTTAGAAAAATGCATGACTCATCCCAGTGTTCTTGAAAGGTCCCAGGACAAACCAGTTATAGGAAATCTTTTATTTTTACTTTTTTAGAGAAAGAGAGAGACAGAGAGTAGGGGAGAGGGGCAGAGGGAAAGAGAGAGAGAGAGAATCTTTTTTTTTTTAAATATAATATATTGTCAAATTAGCTAACATACAGTGTATATAGTGTGTTCTGGGCTTCAGGGTTAGCTTCCTGTAACTCATCGCTTACATACAACACCCAGTGTTCCTCCCAACAAGTGCCCTCCTCAATGCCCATCACCCATTTCCCCTCTCCCCCACCCCCCATCAACCCCCCCAGTTTTTTCTCTGTATTTAAGAGTCTCTTACAGTTTGCCTCCCTCTCTGTTTGAAACTACTTTTCTCCCTTCCCTTCCCCCATGGTCTTCTGTTAAGTTTCTCAAGTTCCACATATGACTGAAAACATAATGTACTGTCTTTCTCTGACTGACTTATTGCACTTAGCATAATACCTTACAGTTCCATCCACATTGCTGCAAATGGCATAATTTCATTCCTTCTCATTGCCAAGTAGTATTCTATTGTATACAGAAACCATATATTTTTATCCATTCATCAGTTGATGGACATGGGGCTCTTTCCATAATTTGGCTATTGTTGAAAGCACTGCTATAAACATTGAGGTACATGCGTCCCTGTGCATCAGCAATCTTGTATCCCCTGTGTCGGGCTCTGTGCTGACAATGTGGAGCCTGCCTGGGATTCTCTCTCCCTCTCTCTCTGCCCCTTCCCTGCTTGCTCTCTGCACCCCCACCTCAAAACAAAAATATATTTAAAAATAAAAGTAAAATTAAGACACTTGTTATATATATATTTTTAAATTTTTTAATGTTTATTTTTGAGAGAGAGAGAGTGTGAGCAGGGGAGGGGCAGAGAGATAGGGGACACAGAATCCGAAGCAGGCTCTAGGCTCTGAGCTAGCTGTCAGCAGAGCCCGACTCAGGGCTCGAACTCACAAGCTGTGAGATCATGATCTGAGCAGAAGTAGGTCACTCAAGCGACTGAGCCACCCAGGTACCCCAAGACATTTGTTATCTTAATTAGAGTAGAGGCTAACTTGTTTTAACAAAGAAACTTAAAAAGACAGTAAATGAAAAAAGATACTTTATTTTTGTAAAAGTAAAAGTCCAAAAATGGATGAGTTGACTAGTGTGGGTAATTATGTTGAGACTAGAGAGGAAGGTCAACCTTGCATCCTAAACATGTGACTCTTTTATCTAGTTCTAAAGATGCTCTGAATGGAAAGGGCTGAAAAGCAAGTAGAGAGCATGATCAAAGGCATCGCACAGAAGCAGCCACATTATTCCACTCTTACTCTGTCGGTCCAAAACTCGTCCCTGTGGCCATACAGAGACACAGGACCAGGAGCTGACACCTTGTGCTAAGCATCCATGTGTCCCGCTAAAATCCAGGCATTCCATTACTCTTGTCTGAAGGGACAACCAACTGCTCGGGGAAAGTTTAACAATCCGTCTGCTTGTATAAACCGCTTAAACAAAGCCAGGCACACCCTCTGTGCTCTAAGGAAGTTCATTTTTGCTCCTGTTTTGTTGTCATTGTCTTTATCATTTTTCCTGTTCTTATTACCTGCCCTGATACGTGTTCTGTGCTAGTTGATTGCCCAAAAACCCGCTGAATTTCAGTTGTTCTATAACTCACACTATCCCCAGTTCAAAAATTTCCCCTTACTGTGAATAGAAATCCAAGGCCTGCAATTCCTTCCCATTGGTCTGCGTCCTACTTGGGGCGTGGCGTTAATGTCTCTTCAGCGTGGCAGTATCTCAGTCATATGGCAGTTAATATGCAGTCTGTTCCCCTCTCCCAAAGCTGTGCTTTCCAAGAACAAGTTCCTTTTGAGAGCCACTGCCAGTTCTTTTTATCAGTTCTCCTGAGAACACATATCCCTAGAAACCTTTTTCAACCATTCCCTCTCAAAATATTTTTTTTTAATGTTTTTTATTTATTTCTTTTTTTTTTTAATGTTTTATTTATTTCTAGGAGAGAGAGAGAGAGACAGCGTGAGCAGGGGAGGGTCAGAGAGAGAGGGAGTCACAGACTGAAACAGGCTCCAGGCTCTGAGCTGGCAGTCAGCACAGAGCCCGACGCGGGGCCCGAACCCATGAACCACGAGATCGTGACCCAAGCGAAAGTCGGATGCTTAACCGACTAAGCCACCCAGGCGCCCCGATCTCTCAAAATATTTTTTATTCTCCTCAGCTTAGTCTTTGTTCTGAGGGAAAAGCCACTGCCTATGCCACTCTAAATTTACCTGCCAGAGTTAAATCCATTATTCCATTGATTTTTTTTACAGAGCGGTCCAGTAGCATGTTTCTTTAACTTTGCACCTAAAATTGTGAAAGTCCACAACCATACGACAATGCATTTGGTCTATCATCAGTCTGCCTACAGGGTAAACAGCACAATCTTTACCTTTCATTGTATATTGGAACCTATTATTTTTGGAGACATGAAAAAAAATCATTTATTGGAAAGGACTGTTGATTGGAATTAGAAAGTGTACTATCTCCCTCCCACGAAGAAATACTCTGCTTCTAGATCTCCTAGAAATTATAATGGCAGAGGAAATTGAGTATCAGGTAGGGACCTATGTCTTTCGTACAGGGAGTCTGAGCTCCAAAGCAACAGTCGAAGAGGCATCTGCTTTTTCTGATCTCTGGATTTATACTCTGTGTCTGCAGGAGATTTGGTGATGGGGAATTGTGGATTTGGCCTGGGTGATGTCATGTTGCTTTCTGGTCACAGATTACTGCATAGTTTAAGTCTTGCTTTCTTCATGTAGCCAGAGGAGAAATGCACAGAGAGCTGCGTTGTCTGGAAATGGATGGTCGCTGTGAAGCTGAGTGCCTTTCCTTTGAAGTTAAGATTGGGGGCTGTAGAACTGAAATGACACCACTTTGCTGCAGAAAAAGGAAGAACAAGTCAAAATGAAGCAGCAGCTACAAAAAAAGAAAGGCGAAGATACTCTGGCTGTGACTCCATGCAGCAAAGCTCTGGATTTTCTCTCTTGCCCTCTAAAGTTTGCACCCTTTGAGTGAAGCCATCAGTCCAGCTTCTGACACTGCAGGGAAATGCCCTCCCTAGGTCCTGAGCTTCCTGAGGGAAGGCACTGAGTCTTGCTCACCTTTGCCCCTCCACTTGCTGGGCTAGGGCCCATTCATTATTGTGTTGATTGATGAAGTGAGTCAGTGAATAAACAGGTAAAACAGGTAGAATGGAAGGGTGGGACCGTGGTTCAGATGGGTTCTAAAGTGACAGTCCTGGCTTCAGACACATGTGTGACCCTGGGCTTTTGCTCTTCAGGCTCTGGAATCCGTACTATGAGGAGATTCAACCACCTAGTAAATAGACCACCTGCTGGACACCAAGTATGGCTGCTGTAGTGGTACTGCTGACACTTGCCTCTCCATCTCCTTCACCGATAGGAGTTGCTAGAATGTCTTCCACTCTCTGTCCCATCTGGGACATTAAGCGCCCCAAAGAAACTGGCCTGTGTCAAAGTTTAGGTTGGCCAAAGATTGGGTAGCATCTTCATTCCTGCCACTTGCCATGAGAATTTATCAAATCATGGCCTATTCAAGCCCAGGATGCCTAGAGATAATCTCATTCAACACCCTTATTACAGACAAGGAGATAGAGGTCCAAGAAGATCCCACAGGTACTGGCTTAGTTACAGCCATAGTCAGACTTATGGCTTTTTGGTGCTGTGTTCTTAGCATGCACACAAAATGGCGCTCTGGATGAGGACAGAAGCCTGTGGATGGAACACATTTTTACAGAGCATGTGAGCAGCTGAGTGGAGGAAGAAGCTGAAACCAGTGGCCGAAAAATTAGACACTTTCCAAAATCCTTCTTATGACCCTGAGATCCTTGCTTTTTGGGCCATTGGTAATGGTAAACTGAGGTGTGCCTCTGCCCTGATTTGCCCAAATTTGGAGTCCCAGCTTTTGGGCAGAGCATGATATTTTTCATAGGCTGTTTTCATCACAAATTTATAGCACACTCTTCCAGAACAGAAGAAACAAATCCCCTCAGCTCTGCTCTGAAATGTTTTCTGACCTATTCGATGAAGCCTCCTTCCTGTAGAGATGTAAATACGAGAGCAAAATAAAACACAATTTTCTAGAACAAGACAATTTGTAAAAGGCTGTAAAATAAGAAATAAAAGTGTGTGTGTGTGTTTTTTTTAAAAGTGTTCTGGTGCTGTTAACATACCTTTATGGTTAATCGCTGAATTTTTTGTTCTGAAACTACACAGGAGACAAGCAGGCAGATAAAGCTGTCTGTTGTAATAAGAGGAACTCTCTCGGGTCCTGGGCTTTTCCCCAAAATTCTTTACCCAAAGTCTCAGATAAAACTAACTGCCTCTCCGAATCTAAATGTACTTAGATCTTTTCCCCTTTCCTCCTTTCTTCTCCCTTTCCTTGTAAAATGAACTGTAGTGTGTATATGGTCCCCTTCTTTGCTTCTCAACTTATGGAAATGTCCACCTTCATGTCACCAGGATTTCTCTTAATAAGGAGACCAGTGCCCTCTTAGACACGTCCTGGCCACTGTCCTCTTAGGAAAGATTCCAGGGCCACCCCCAGCGATCCACGGCCAGTACTCATTCAGTCTGGGTTCGTTCACAAACATTTCACAATGTGCTGTGTCTCCTTCTTCATTTCTGCCTCCTCTGCCCACGAGGACTCGTGTTCAGCTATTTTCTTTCTCTTCTTCCCTGGCTCTCCTTTGATCCGGCCTTTGCTGGGCTTGCACCCTGGTTTCATCCACCTTGTTATACATTGTCTCTAAATAACCCCCCACCCCCTGCTCCTGTGGCTCAAGATCTCACCTACTGTCATGGCACTGTCTGTTTACCAGCCTCTCCGGGCTCCCAGTCCCTCTTCTGTTCTCCACCCTAGGGTGGTGTGTGGACACCCCTCACACTAATGTCTGGACGTTGCCTCTGCAAACGCCGCGGCCAGCTGGCTTCCTGTCAGTGCTTTTAATACCAGGCATTGCACTCGAATAGTAGCAGATGGTTCGCTCCAGGTGCTGGCTTCTTTTGACTTTCTCAGCAGCCTAACAAGATCTCTGGATGGAGACAGTAGCGCCCAGAGTCTATCCCCTTGGTAGTTAGGAGGATCAGTTGAACCTCGACCTTCTTTGCTGTGTACCCTGGCTCTCCACACCCCTGTTGTGAACCCTGGATGCAGGTTGCCTTCACCCCATTTGTCTGAGCATCAGTCCTGGAGCACACTCGTACACTGCTCCTGACTTACAAGATCTGAGCACCAGCACAGATGCATGTGTCTCGTTCTTATATGTCCAGTCCCAGCTGCAGCCTGCTTACCTCAGGACTTCCAGCTCCTTCCCCTTATAACGCCTTTCCCTTCTGCTCCTCTAGGCTGGTGATTATTAATCTCTGTGCCCCCCCCCCCTTTTTTTTAGTTTATTTATTTATTTTGAGAGAGAGAGAGCAGAAGCAGGGGAAGAGGCAGGGAGAGGGAGAGAGACAAAATCCCAAGCAGAGGCTCTACACTGTCAACTAGGAGCCCAGTGTGGAGCTCAAATCCATAAATCGTGAGATCATGACTGAAAGCAAAATCAGGAGTCAGATGCCCAACCTACTGACCCACCTAGGCGCCCCAACCTCTGTGCCCTTTCAACCATCCACCACCTGTGAAAACAATTTCCTGCATTAAATTTCCTTCTTTAAATATCCAATATGATTTCTGTTGTCCTGAATGGGCCTTGTCTGATAAAAATCCTACACTATATTTCAAATTTTAACACCTTGCTAAAGTTTTTTTTAGGGCATTGGACTTTCCCAACTGTATTTCTGGTAGGCACCCCAAAGTAACTTGTTTTCATTGCAATTTATCACTTTCTTTCCAAAACTGATCTTCATTTACTGTTCTAGATCTTGGTAAATATTGTTACCATTTACCCAGAAACTCCAGTTAAAAACAGCTTTTCCAGGAGTGCTTAGGTTGCCTCACAAATCACCCAATTCACTCATTACATAAACCTACCTAGATTACTCTCTAATATGTGCAAATTGTGTTGTGACATTTCTTCCCCCTCTCTCCTCACTAACACTGTTCTCATTTACCTAGAATTTGGGGATTGGATTTGCATGGGATAAGGAGTAGTTCCACATTTCATGTTGCATATGTATGCATGCATGCAAACGTGTACACACACACGCCAGGTGTGTCCTTCCACCATAAAAGCTAAGTATAAGTGTCAGGCTCAAATTGTTAGAACATAAAAATAATAGAGCTAGAACTGGCCTTGGAGAGAACCTAAGTCAATGTTTCTAGAACCACATTCTAGTCACCTAGAATATTTTTGAAAGCTGGACGTCTGTCTCCAATCTAATTAGTGTTTTCATATTGGGAGCTCTTAATTTTTTCTTTAATGTTTATTTACTTTTGAGAGAAAGAGACAGAGTGCGAGTGGGTGAGGGGCAGAGAGAGGGAGACACAGAATCCAAACAGGCTCTTGGCTCTGAGCTGTCAGCACAGAGTTCTACGTGGGGCTCAAACTCACAAACTGTGAGATCATGACCTGAGCTGAAGTTGGACGCCTAACTGACTGAGCCCCCCAGGTGCCCCCATATTGGAGACTCTTAAGCTAAGAATCTGAATTTTTAGAATCACTTTTTAAAAATTTTTTATTTCTGAGAGAGAGACAGACAGTGTGAGCAGGGGAGGATCAGAGAGAGAGGGAGACAGAGAATCTGAAACAGGCTCTAGGCTCTGAGCTAGCTGTCAGCACAGAGCACAACGCGGGGCTCGAACCCATGAACCGTGAGATCATGACCTGAGCTGAAGCCGGACGCTTAACCGAATGAGCCACCCAGGTGCCCCTAGAATCACTTTTTGAATCATGTCTCCTGTGCAGTGAAGTTTGGCAACTACAGATCATTGACCAGAGGAGCATCCAAGATTCAGAGATGACCGTTGTTCTGTGCCGCACACCTCTAGTTAGAAGCCAAGATGAAGCTTCAGAACTCAAATCCAGAAGCCTTTCCTTCAGGTCCAGTGGTATTTCACTATGCTGCAGGTTTTGTAAAGGAGATATTGAGAGGAACTAAACAAAATCTTTACCTCCTTGCTCAACTAGGGGAACAGAAGCTCAGACTTTAATGGGAAGATTGGTGTATGTCCCGCAAATTAACATACAACACGGCAGTGTCCATGCTTCATGGGAGGCCTGAGGTGGCTCAGGATAGGGTGACTGAGTATGACTTGAGTTAGTGGAGTCTGAGGCAAGTTCACAGGCAAAACACAGTGTCACTGTTCAGACCAATTACTTTGTCAACCTAGCCTAAATCACTGTGACTGAACTGAAGAACTTTCGTTCCATTCTATTGCTATTGTATTGGTAGCTTATGTTCCCATTTGATAATTTTTTTTTCCATTCAGAACTGCCCATTTCCATCATTCTGGGGGACTGAGCATCCAAAATAACAATGACTCTCAGTCCTCCTCTGAAGGCCATTCTGCTCTCAAGGGACACCTGTGTCCCTAGGTATCCTCAAGGAGGTATTGAAATGTTCTCATTATCGAGACTGATCTATCCAGCTGGTCCTAGTGAGCTGCTGACTGAAATGAAGCCATTTTCCACTTGTCTGTATGGACACCTTCACCCAGGAGAACCACTGTTATTTTCTTATGGCCTTCTTTTCTTTTTCTAACCAGGTCTCCCCAGAGAACAAAAGAAATTTATGTAAGACTTGGTATGTTTGAGAATCTAACTGCGTGAGAAAATCCTACACACAGGACAAAAGCCCACTACCTACACACGGAGAAGGGCCCCCACAGGAAAGTGGATATTTGAGAGAACCGTGGTTGCCTCACCTCTGAATGACCTCTTCTGACTGTGTGCACCACATCCTAGGTTGTGTAAATACCGACTTAGAAATGAAGAGCAGTCAGAGG